CCCCCCCCGCCCCGTCGTGCGACCTCGCGTAGCTGATGACGGTGAAAATTTAATACGTCATCGGCGGACCGTCGTAACGATGCAGTTTGCGAGTGTCGACGTAGCCGCGCAACCGGATAAACCGACGACGTCGTCGTCGACGTCGTTTCCGGGGAACCGGTGAATCCCAGCGATCCGGGGGTGCCTTTCGCTGTCCATCGGCCGAAGTGTTTTCAGAAGTGGTGCTTTTAGCGGGAAGATCGCGAACGGGGATTACGGGAGCCGGGTGGCCCGCGACGCCATGGGAAAGGTATCGTATTGACGGATATGTTTGTGTACTTCTCATCATTGCTCACTCCCTGGAGACGAAAGGTTTATCTCTGAAAAAGGAAAGGTCGTTCGTGTAATATTTACCTGATCCACGTAAAATAGTGACTCCAATATTCCTCGGCTAAATATTTACCAGAAATAGAAGTACAATTGACTGTGTACGATACGATATTTCCTTTCGTGTAAGTAGACATTTGCTTGTACGTGTTAAAAGTGATCATGACAAGTATTAAATTCGTAATATTGAGAATGTCAGGATCTATTTTTTTAGAAAATATTTTTACCGGCGATTTACATGGCAAGGAAGTGTTGCATAATTCTAGTAAATACTCTCCTAAATTTAGACCATTTCACACTTATATTCAGTAATTCATATGAAAATTAAAGCGTTATATTATTGCGTTCAAAATTAATATTTCTACAACGTATTAAAATATACTTAAATTGATAAAAATTTCACTCGATTTGAGAGACTGTACGGAAAAAAAAATATTATTAAATCAGTAAAATTTCTAACAGCAGCGCGATTGGAGTAAATCTTCTTGATTCGATAACAAATATCACACGTTAAAACTACTAGTTGACTTGTATATTGTTCCAATAGTTAAAATATTAGTTCAATGTTTAATTCATTGGTTTAATTCAATGGCATCGCCATTAAAATCAAGAAGACCCACTCCAATCACGCGTGCTACTGGACATTCTACTAATTCATCAGTATTTTTTCCGTGAAAAACATGATAATTGCGTTTACTTGAATCTCATGATGTATGTTATGGTTACGAAATATTTTCCTCTCCGTGTTGTCACGTGTGACATAGACGTTGATCGAATTGCATAATACAAATGATTTCATCTCCGGTGGAACGTTGAGCGAATCGTACCGAAAATGCGACCGATAATGTGTCGGGTGGCCGCACTTTACGATTTCGTCGAGCCTGAATTTTAAGTTCGTTCTCCGCGCAACGACAAACAAAAGATCAGAAGCAAACGCTAATTCGCTGAAACGGCAATTTTGCCGAAGGAATTAGGCCGCTCAGTTCGTCCTGCGCTACTTCGACATTCAGTTCGTTCAACTCGATTCGAGTTATTTCGAGCGAATATCATATATATATTTTTTTTTATTTTTTTTTTTTTTTTTTTTTTT